TAAGATTCTTTGTATTCTGTTGTGACTTGATGTCCATCCAAGTTCCGATGCACCAGACTCAATTTAGTTTTGATATATTCTATATTACTATATATTATATACTATATATATTTATATTTACATAGTATAATATCTATCATACTTAAAATTGAATTAATGTTTCTTTTCACTTATTTCTTGTGGTTTTGCTCTGTTTTTTGATATTTATGTTTAAAGAAAGGGATGCATATTTTTTTAACTGTCGAACTTCAAATAGTTACTTCTGTTTGACTAAAAAAGGTTGAAAGTCAGAAATTTATGTAAAATGTATTGTCTAATCTTTGTTTGTTGCTGCCGTGCAAGCTGTATGTGTGAACTTTTTAAAAGATTTTTATGAGCAACAACACGCACTCTTAAGAAGAATGAGCAACTCCATGCTTGCTCTTCTCATCATCAGAGAAATCAATATTTTCAAGATGAGAATTTGATCAATACAAGAAATAAATTGATTTGATTTAAATTCCTTGTCGTTTATGGGTATTCTGTCTACCCCTTCAGAAAAAGTCGTATTATGAGTTGACGTTATCTTTGGTAAAATTTATTTTTTTCATTTGAAAAACGAGGTATAAATTTAATGAAGGACCTGCAAATCTGCATAACAGCAGTATATTAATACTGCTTATCTTCGTTTGTATGATTTTACAGAAGGTGAAGAAAAAGAGTAGAATACGGAATGTCGACGCACAAAATATCGATAAATGCTAATACGATGCTACAAAATTGCGATGCACGTTACGGCGAAAGACCGTCTCTGCGAAGATACTACACTTCGATGCACGTTACCGCGATAGATCTTCGCTGCGATACTACCTGAGTTCGATGCACGTTACCGCGAAAGATTTTCACTGCGATACTACTTAACTTCGATGCACGTTATCGCGAAAAACTACGGAGCAACTTGGCTTCGACAATCTACGAAACATCGTTACTGAGAAACTAATACACTATGACATCCCTGCTCGTCTTTCGTTAAGCTTGTCATATTAGCTATCTAGATTTATTTTATTTATTTATTATATTATCAATTATCAGAACAAAAATATGTTTTGAATGGGCCTAAAAAAATATAAACCAAAAAAAATAGACAAGGAAATAAACAAAAGAATAGACGGTAGATAATAAAAGTTTTAATAATTATGTTATTGTATGCTACAAAAATATGAATGACTCAAATAATTCGTAGGGGAAAAACTGTTTTATTTCTTGTTTTTCCAATATCATCAACTCGTCAACAACAAATTTTTGAGCATTATCTGCATTTGTCTCGACGCCAAAACCAGCTTTCTTAAATCTTGGATCCATGAATGTTGCTTTAGCAACAGTTTTGTTTGTCTCATGACCGCCAAATCTTCTTTCGAAAACATCTAGTAATTTTATCTTTAATCTGCTAGCGACTTCGGAATCAGATCTGCAACTTCTTAGTGCTGTTTGTACGCCTCGAATAAGAGGTATAATGCAGGATAACGTTGGATATTGCTAGCCAGATATAATACCCGTCATTTGTTCCACAGGTTTTAACACGCAAAGGCACTCATGCACCTCGGTCCATTCGTCAGCGTTAAGATTATCTGGACAGCCAGGTAATGAAAAGATTGCAGCAGAAAGAGGTATCTTGATCTTTTCGAGACGTTCCAGCATATAATACACCGAATTCCATCTCGTCTGGACATCTTGTTTTGGTTTTAAGGATTCCAGTTGCATTTGTTCTTGAACCTGTTTTAATTTATATGCAGCATTATTGCTTCTTTTGAAATAGGCTACTATTGCTCGGCACTTTTCAATCAATCGAATTAATAGTTCATTGTCTTTGATGGTATCTTGAACCACCAAGTTTAAAGTATGAGCTGCACAACTGTGGTGACGTTTTTGCAAAATATCAATTACAGCCTTTTTTATATTAGCCGCATTATCAGTTGTAACGCAAATGATTTTGTCCAAAATGTTCCATTCGGTTTCACATATATCTTTCATTTCTCAAGCTAAATTTTCTGATGTATGGGTATCCTTAATTTCCCTGGTAGATAACGTTAAAGTTTTAAATTTACCGTCATAAATGAAATGAATCGTCAGGGTCATGTAACTTTTGCTGCTATCGGAAGTCCACAAGTCTGTTGTCAAAGCAATGTAATCTGTTACTTTAAGCATCTCTTGCGTAGCCTTTCTTGCCAAAGAATATTGCTCCGGAATTAATTTTTCCGAAAGAATCTTTCGTGAAGGTAGCTCATAATTAGGGTTAAGCGCACGAGTATACTCTTGAAAACCTTTATTTTCAACGACTTGAAGCGGTTGAAAATCAACACACACCATTCTTAGTAACGCTTTATCCACATTTTTGGAGTTCACCTTCATAGCTTGCTTAGACGGAAAAGTCATCTGAAGTTGCCGTTTACGTGGTGGTGGTACTAGTGGTGTTTCGCCATCTGTCATTGACTGGAATAAATTAGAATTCTTGTCCTCGTTGACTGGCGTTTGATCTTCAGAACCAGAAGCTACACTTAATAAATCGGAATCACTTTGAGCGGGGGGAATCGTTGAAGAATTTTCAATCTGAGTCGAGTAAATAATAGGATGAGATTTTTTTTAGGTGCTTTAACAAATTAGTTGTGTTTTTGAAATCTTTAAATACGGAGTCACAGTTTTGCACTTTATTTTATCGTCGTTCACTTTCTCAAAACACCTCCATACACCTGAGGTTTTTTTCGTCGCCATTATATAAAAACTAATAGAAATCACTTCACTTCTACTATTAAAAAACTTAGACACAAAATAACTCAGTACTTAGACACAAAATAACTGCTAACTGACAGAAAACAAACAAATCAAAACAAAAAGTTGCAGGTTCAAACTTGTTTGTATTGTTAGAACCGCGCCACTTCATTGCTTAAGTAAACAGTTTGCGAGTACAAGCGAGTTAACAATACTCGTATACTAGACTCGAGTTAGTTGGACTCGCATAAATAGAATCGAGTTAGCAAGTACAAATCGATTCTTCCTGACTCGAGTACCGGAATCGAGTCCGGTGTACTCGAATCAAAATAAATTGGTATTCGAGTAAGCGAGTCCAAAGCAGGAATTGAGTCTGACTCGAGTCAAACCGTACTCGGCACATCGCTAGTTTTTGGTATGGATGCATAAAAATGGTCGATTTGAAAAAAAAAATTATCTTCCCCAGAAGTCTGAAATTGGGGGTATCATAGGTGATACTACGGGTCTTAATGAAACTAAATCATGTAATACTTTACTTCAATTTTTATTAGTATAAAAATCGTATAAACAGTTTCGGTTGACATTCAAACATTAATTATTTAGTTTAAGTGGTTCAAATTTTTCAAATGAAACTTCTTGAATGGTGATAATTTGAGGACAGTGTTCGGAAGAGTCTGAAATTCTCGAGTCAGTTGCAGTTAAGATCGTGTCGTTACAATGAGGACGTTTTGAGGGAATCCTCAGATTCTGATTCTGCAGAGTTGTTGTTCTCAAATATATCTGTACTACCAGTTATTTTAATTTTTTGTTGATAAATGATAGGCGAATTCTGACCCGGAACATCATACATAATTACGTCTTCTTCAAGCTGGACAAGTAGCTTGGCACATTCAAAATATATGTGCTCACGTAACTTGCAGACCATATGTGTGAGTCATGTGTTGCTCTACCAAATTTTGAATTCACATTTATGATGCACAAGTCATAATCACATATATCTGAAAAAAAATAAAATTAAACTATACTTAGGTACTTATTGTTTGGTTTCTACAAAGAATTACAAAATATTTAAAATATATTTTATAGATTTCACTATGTATACAATAACCCTTAATTTCGCTGTGTTGCTTGGTACATAGGCACATAGTTGATTTCTTGTGTGGTGTTTGTGGAAACACTATCCACCTACTGACCATCCAATTGTGATTAAGGGCTTTCACAACCTCTCTGATGCAGCGACTTGTTGTCCGCTGCGTCAAATGCTGGCCCACAGTGTGGGCCAGCATTTGACCAGGGTTAGGGTTGCCAACTTTTTTTACAAGAAAAAAAGTACACTATGAAGATTATCAAACAGTATTTTAGAAAAACGAACAGTATTTTATTTATTTCTTGCTTTAAATACATATTTTTTTGAGCTTCTCGCACAACGTATTAATTCACAATCTTTTTTGAAAATTTCATATGCCTCATCACAATTTATATCAAAGTTAAAATAAATGAGGAGCTCGTTTTTTATTAATTTGATGGATGCTCTGTTTCTATCATCCCGCCACTTAGCATTCATTACTGAAAAAACTCTTTCAGTAAATGCTGAGGTGGCGGGAACAGAAAGTAGATATGAGACTATTTTTGTAATGTTTTTAAATTCTTCTGCAGTGTTAACTAATAAATGGCTCCATTTTTGGTGTGGGCCCCACACCCACAATTTTTTGGTATGACCGTGTAGCTAAAAAGCTAAGAGCACACAGAACCTGAAAAATATAATAATGCAATAGATAAGTTTAGGTTAATGTGGTTTTATTTTTATTTATACTGCAGTTCATAAAGTATTGTGTGGTGCCACAATATTTTTGTTGTATAGTACTTATTATAAACTAAGCAAACGAAGATGCTTTAACTCAAGTTACAAGGAACAACAACCAAAAACATAAAGTACCTTAGGTTGCCTGCAATACCTAATAATCAAGGCCGTAGCCAGAAAATAATTTCAGGGGGGGGGGGGTTTGATTTGGTAGAACAGTAGAAAAACATGAAATCGTTTTAATAAAAGAAATAAAATGGTGTTACTTATTATGTATATATTTATGAAAAAACCCGGGATAGATGGCCATAGTGTTTTTGGAGCCCAATAAAAATTAAACTACAATATGCATTATGATAATCAGTAATTTTAACTTAACACGTTCGCGTGAGCAACCTCATTCCTTAATGCTGGTACTCAGGCGCACCTTTTATCCATACAAAATTTAGCAACGTCTAAAGAACGTTATTTCACGTCAGACGTCTATATACGCTGCCGCCACCACGTATGTCTGACATACCATACTAAAAGACACAACGTTCATAGGCTTCAACTTAAACTAAGGGAATTGTAATGATACAACTGGATATATGTATAGGAACATAAGTTTAATCAAAAACTCTTAACATTCTTATTTATACGAACCCAAAATCTTTTTTTCTTTTTAATCAGCCTTAATTGTACATGTACCTATTTATTAATCATTAACAAACAAGATAATCTTAGGAATGTAAAGTAAGTAGATATAGACTATAGGTTTGTGGCTGTTTGGTATGCCACTCTTCAAAACATGAAGGGCATAAAGCTGGCTTGTCTAGGCAGCCTTTGCACCTGTAGCTAGTTTCTTTTCGTGTCTTGTTCTTAGTACACATCTTGCATTTCAAAAATGTATTCTTATTAGAAGAGATTTTCTTAGGTATCTTTTCAGGCCAGTGACCAGTCGGAAAAGATGTTTCTTCATTCGAGGTGGGTACAGATTCTTTTCTTGCTTTCTGTCGATTATCATATTTACGATGTTTTATTAATTTGTCTGGTTTTAGGGCTGGATCTAATTTTAAGAGTCTTATGATTAAATCCTCTCGAAAGTCTATAAATTCATAACTCTTAGCATTACCTTTACGATATTTTTTATAAATATAAAAGCTGTTCCAAACTGCTAGGTCTAGTATATGGAAAAGTACTTTTTTATACCACCTTACTGTCTTACTGGGAGATGAATAGTATGAGACCATTTGGTCGGAACGGTAATACCTGACATATACTTATTATAAATCGAGACTTCCAGCGGTTTAGATTTAGGTTGACCGTGTCTGTTATGATCATTGATTATTTTAGGATGGTTTAGGGTGGTAATCATTTGTACAGGTCTTTTGTCAACCCATTTGGACACGTACAGGGACCGGCAATAAATATTGCACATCGACCTTTGGAAAGAGACAATCGGCTAATTTCGGCTTCGTAGAGCGCTATCTCTCTCGCACGAAATACAAACAGTCCGGTATAAAACAATTATGATTTGCTGCTTTTGATAATTATTATTTGTATAAAATACGCCAATTTTTCTATAGTGATGGCTTTAGGTTGGGGTAAAATAAAATAAAAAAAAAAACATGTTCCCATTATGTTTTCGTATTTAATTATTTTGGAAAATTACAGCTGTAGTGTACATAATAAACAACATTAATCATATTGTTAAAATGAGACATTGTAATAAAAAAAATAATAATTCTAATTCTCAATTACTTCCATTTCACTATCTGTGCTCTCAAAGAGATCATTATCACTGTCACTGTCAGCCGTATTTAACACTAGTCTATCAGTGTAATTGTCTAAACCGTGTTGAATGCTTCTATATTCATTCTCACATTTGATTGCATGATCGCAAACCTTTTTCCAATCTTCAGCCCCGATCATGTTTACTTTTTCAGTCAATAATGTTTTTACTGTAGTTAAATTCATACCCACATTTCTAGAGGCTACATAGCCTTTCAGTTGAGACCATATATTTTCTATTGGATTAAAATCCGGATGATATGGTGGCAATCGCAACACAGTGTGCCCATGTTCGGCAAGTACTTTGTCCACGGAAAACTCTGTATGCCTCTCCTTGTGCTGACATATAATAGCGTAAATCTGGGTTTTTGTTAATTTTGGATCTACTGGAATTTGGTGTCTGTTTAACCAGTGGATCATTTCCTGTTTAATGGTGTTCGAGTTGGGGGGTCTTTCAACATACACACACCGGCAAAATTAGGGGAACACAAAAAAGGGCCTATTTTTTTGGAACTCGTGAATGATTTGTCAAGTAGTTCATTTATTTAGGAAATTACCCTCGTACAACACAATATTTTGAGATATTTTGACATTTTTCAACAATCTAACATAAATTATACGTTCTCAAGTGTTTATTGAGTGTCAGCGCTTTTAAGTGTTTTTGATAAGGATTTTGTTGGAGCAGTCAATAGAGGCCCTAGCTTATTTTGTTGTTATTGTTTGAAGAGTTAACATTGTATTGCATACAAAATGAGTGATTTACCAGCAACTGAAGTTGCCTAAGCTGTGACAATGATCGAGGAAGGGCACACATACCGTTCAGTGAGTCGAACGTTGGGTGTATCAGTATCTGTGATCCACCGTTGTGTCAAACGATACAGACAGACGGGATCTTACGTACGGAGACAAGGCAGAAAGCGTGCAACCAGTGCCGTAGATGATCGTTTCATACGGATGCAAACGTTAAGAAACCGTCGTCAAACAGCTGTGCAGACCTGAAACCTTTTAGAAGAAGTGCGTAACGTGCGAGTTATTGAACGAACAGTAAGAAGAAGGTTAAACGAAGTTGGTTTAAAGTCATACGTGCCAGCAAAAGCGCCTAAACTTGAGGTAAGTCATCGAGTTGCAAGATTAGCGTTCGCTCGTCAGCACCAAGATTGGTCCGATGAATGCGGTCGTGTTTTATTCTCGGACGAAAGCCGATTTTGTGTAAATTTCATCGACGGGAGGGAAAGGATGTGGAGGTATCGAGGAGAACGGTACCATCAAGCCAATTTTACCGAAACGGTGTCATATGGTGGAGGGTCCGTTATGGTGTGGGGTGGCATTACTTCAACAGCCCGCACCGCTTTGGTCATTATTGAAGGCGGCTCTCTGACTGCACACAGGTACATAACGAAACGAAATGTCAATCTATTAGTTTCACCCGTCGCATAAACCCCATAAAGTATTGTTATAAATTTGACAACATAGCTATAGAAAGAGTAGATGTCGTTAGAGATCTTGGTGTGTTGCTGGACTCTAGATTGCTATTCTCTGAACACATCGATAGTACAGTTGGTAAAGCCTCTCGTAATCTTGGATTTGTAATGCGCACATGTAAACCATTCAGAAACCTTCATAGTCTCAAGATTGTGTATCTTGCTTATGTCCGCAGCACATTAGAATATTGCAGTCCTGTCTGGTCTCCTCTATATAATATTCATATATCTCGTTTGGAGAATCTTCAGAAACGATTTATAAAATTTTTAAATATTAAAAGCCATAAACGCCACGCATCTTATCTGACGGATTGTAAACATTACCACTTATTGCCACTTGATGACAGACGGCAGATGTTGGACATGCTCCTTCTTTATGATATCCTGCGGGGTGGGATAGATAGCAGTGATCTCTTGTCATGCGTTGAATTCTGCACGCACAGGTGTCGAACAAGACATACTCACTTGCTTAGTATACCCTCACATCGTACGAATTATGGGAAAAATGCTGTTATGACTCGACTACCTCGCATTTACACAGAGAAGTTTGAGAGTGTGGATATATTTAATTTGTCAAAGGTATCCTTTCGTAAGTCGCTTATACAAATACTCACTAGTGCGTGACTCTTATAACATTATTATTCTTCTTAAGTCCTTGATTGTTTAATTTTATTTTATATTGCTCACTCTCCTACTTTTACCTAACGCATGCTGAAAAACTCTGTTATTGGCTTAAGTTTCCATGCCTTGTCATTATTATAGATGTAGCATTTACTAAATAAGCTGTTGAGTTTTCTGTAATAAAAATAAATAAATAAATAAATAACCGAGATCCTAGAACCCCATGTAATGCCTTTTGCCCCATTTATAGGGCCTGATTTTGTGTTTATGCACGATAACGCAAGGCCGCACACTGCTCGCGTGGTTCGCGATTACTTAAATGCAATTGGAATTACTCAAATGGACTGGCCAGCACGATCTCCAGATATGAACCCGATAGAGCATGTCTGGGACATGATTGGACGCAAAGTGCGGGAGAGGACTCCACCTCCTAGGAATGTTGAGGAATTAAAATTGGCGTTAATTGAAGAGTGGGCCAATTTACCCCAGGAAATGATTGACAGTGTCATTAGAAGCATGAGCAGTCGTATTCAAGCCTTAATTAGAGCCCGCGGTGGCAATACTAGGTATTAATTAGGTAATTTATAAAAAAAATGACAATTAAAAATATTCATTAAAATGTAAATGACTGAAATTTCCTTTTTTTTGTAAGTATCTGTAAATAAATACCTAATGTTCAACCCTATTCCTATTGTGTCATATTCACTTTGAATACCCAAGCCCAAATTAATCGAAAAAACATACATAAAAAGCTAATAATTAAAAAAGAACTGTCTTTTTTTTGTGTTCCCTTAATTTTGCCGGTGTGTGTATTTATTGTGATAGGGTGCGTTATGGATAACTAGAACAGAATCACGGAGTATATTTGGTATTAATTGATTAACCAGCCATTTTTCGTAGTTATCGCTATTCATTTCATTGTGATAGTCACCTGTAGTGTCCGTGGATTTATACGTTAAAAAGGCACCGGGTACAAAGCCTTTTTCATTACCCGCATGAACTATTATCAAACGTTGACCTTTTGAAATTGGCTTTTTTACTCCGTTTTTCTTGTCATCACTCCAAGATTTCCCTTTAGTGTGGGATACATACATGGACATACATACATGTAAGACTCAACCATGTAGACGATATTTTTTCCTGATTCGCTGACTCTTTTTCCTAAAGATGCCATTGTGCAATTTTAAATTATTTAAATTTGGGGGTGTTACAACTCTTAATATATATTTTGAACTGGACGCGACCGCACTTTATCGCACTTGAACAACGACTGACAAACGTCACACGATGACACGAACGAAACAATGCGCTAACGCAACGAGCGAGACGCAACCTACTGTGTGAGAGAGAGGGAGCGAACGTATACCTGCCGTTTTCATCACACGGGATGACGGGACGCACATGCACTCGCGGAAACCTTTTAGTAGCTATTTAACGGAACGACAACTAATAATAGTAGTAGTATTCGATTTTTTAAGTAAATGTATTTTTAGTTCATACTTTGTTCTCCCATTGATTAAGTAAAAAATAAACGAAAGAGTATAAATACACTTAACATTACGTAACAACAGCATATGACAGGGCAACAGCGTATGACAGGGCGTTCAAGAACGAGACAGCACACCCCAGCAGAACACGTCGCACGCGCCGCCCGGCCGCCAGTAGCCCCGTCAACCCCCGCCTGCCCGGACGTTCGTTAGTTTCAATGTCGGAGATACGCGCGCGCTACGTAAAAATGCCTCCCAGGCGACGAAATTCAAATCAGAACTCGAAGAGGAAGTGTTAGAGTTCTTTCGGTGTCATCCTCTTGCGAGCACAAGGGATACTGCCGGAGTTTACGATGATAGAGACAATAACTTGTGGCGTCTTTTGAATCAAACGCGAAACAAAGTAAAAGTGTAACGGATACATTAAATAATGTGATATGACATGTTTGGAAGCGTGCCTTCATTTGTGTGCAACGCGAAGGTGGACTTGTGCAACAGTTTTGTAGATAAGTAGGTAGAGAGTGTGTAAATAACTGTAAAAGTGTGTAAAAAACTGTTTTAAGTGTGATGGGAAGTTTATAATCGTATTTACCTACATCAGCTTTTCGGAAGAATGCCGTACCTGGTAAGTAATTGCACTTTTAAAACCCTTGTTAGCTTGCCTATTGAGTATCTAGTAGATTATATAGTGACGAACTAGTCAGCTGATTTCCGTTTTCATTCTCAGTAGGGGAAGGTGAGGTATAATGATCCCCTTAAGGCAAAAACTTAACTGTGGCTAATATTGAAGCCAAAATTGCAAGATTTTTATTGTTGTAGGTAGTGAATTTACTTAACTTTGTAACTGCATAATTATATTTTATTATATGTATGTAGTTTTTTCGTATAAGAAGTTTTCGTAAAAGTTTAGTAAAGGATCATTTTATACCATAACTAAATAAATATCAGGGAATAAAACACTCAACTGTTTATTTTAATCATATATATTGTTCATAACAATTTAAGTATGTAATCAAGTTATACAAAACTTTTGCAGTCTTCTAGTTTCATTAGAGATCTTTTTCTTGTAATTATTTACTATTTAATCAACAAAACTAAACATTAAACATTGCAATCATAATATGTCTTATTCATAACAATTAAAGTATGTAATCAAGTTATACAAAACTTTTGCAGTCTCCTAGTTTCATTAGAGATCTTTTTCTGGTAATTATTTACTATTTAATCAACAAAACTAAACATTAAACATTGCAACAAACTTCAAAATTAACAACATACCTAGTCAAGCAACAGGTTACAAATAAACTCTTCTTCTAAATAAAAAAATACAAATAATAATCAAAATTATCAAAGGTTTTTTATCAATGTTAAAACGCTATAGCAAAATCAACTCTTCTTATAAAAAATAGTTATTTTCTTATCAGGAACCTAGAAATAAACCTACAGCCTTAGATTTCTTTTTACAGTATCAAATTGATCACAAGAAAGGCAAATATCACAAGTAAAGTCGCCTTCATCGTCACTATCAACTCCCGCACAAGCCTCGTGTCCCCATTTAAGACACAAAACGCACCTAATCCACCCTTCGCCTTTATTGTCTTTGGAGTAGCTTTCAGTACAGAAGAGGCATTCGGTATCACTTTCCTCTTCAGAAGAATCTGATCTGTTGTGCTTTTTTTGCCTTTTCCCTTTCCGCTTCCTTTTCCTTTTCTTTTCCAACCACTTTTTCTTTTATCATTCTGTTTTTTGGTCACCGTGTTTTTTAATTTACTCGCTGCTTTAAGGGCTTTCTTTTGTTCTATGTCTGTCTTCTTTTTGACTTCCTCTTCAAGGTATTTTTTGTAGGGTGTGCTGGTCAATACTGATGTGTCTACTTTTATTCGTTTTGCACTCGCTCTTTTTCCTACTATCTTCGGTGTCGGTCGTACTTCCCTGGGCGTAACAACACCAAAAGATGTAGATGGAACACCAGCAGCCAAAGCTGGAGGTAATCTTTCAGAAGATTCAGATGTTGAGATATTTCTTGAGAACGATGGTGCTTGTCGCGATGACTGTGGATATTTTTGAGTCATCACTGGAGTCGAAGTTTGAATCGGAGACTGCTGAGGTGTTAAATGAAGGGATTCTTGGACATCCACTGGTAGAATCTGTAATGATTCAGTTTCTGGATTACTCGATTGAGGAGAAGGTACTATTTGCACGGTTTCTACTAATGGAGGACTTGACGTCCCAGAAATCGGAGTGGGAAGTTCTACCGTGTCTTTGTCGACATCCATTTCAGTCGTTTCAGCTGCAATGAAGTCCACATTAGTGAAAATGTCAGGGTTAAACGGATATATTCCTGTTTTGCTGAATCCATTCATACTATTCAGTGGAACTGCTGCTTTTAGATAGGCCTCTGTAAAAATTTTCGTTATTTGGAACACAGTTACCACTCTCCCAGGATTGTTATTCATCCACTTCTCCAACGCTTGGTTATGGTAAACGCTTAGTGGATACATGACACCAACGTCTAGGGGTTGGAGTCTGTGGGTGCAATGAGGTGGTAGGCATAGAATAGTGACGTGATTATCCCTGGCTTTTAATACCACATTTAAATTTTTTGTGTGAGATAGATGAAATCAAAAGAGCGGGGTCTTCTGCTGTCGGTTTGGTATGACTTAAGAAGTGATCGAACCACTGAGAAAACACATCTAATTTCATCCATCCGGATGGATTGCATGTACATATAGCGCCTGGAGGTGCGCCATCCATTAATTCCATTTTCATCCGGACTCTGCGGAAGATTAACATTGGAGGAACAAAAGTTCCAGAAGCTGAGGTACAGATCACTGCAGTCGTTGTGTCGCCTCTCTCAGCTGAAGTCACACGAGCCACTTGTTTACGACCTGTTTGTGCAAATACTCTCGAGTTTTTTGTTGGGACAGTGCATAAACTCGTCTCGTCAACATTAAATATTCGATGGGGTGGAAAATAATGCTTATCTTGCACGTTTTTCAAAGTCGAAAAAAATTTATCCACCACAGGCTTATTAAAACTGCCCACCATACACTAAAGTGCAGTAACAGCAAAATCACGATTTCGAGTAAAACGCATTTAAAGTTAAGAATTGATTTTAAAAAATCAAAAAAATTTGAATGCAGATAGGTTGTAAAGGCATAGGTTCACACGTTAAAGCAATAAAAAAAAATATATCTTAATAACTGAATTTATTATGGCCATTTCGCTCATTTGGTGCAACAATGGCGTAATTACACTTTAACAATTTTTAAAGGAGAGCCGATTAAAGATTTGTATTCGATGTATGGCATTTTGGGGAGACTCATTATAATCTGAATCATTTTAAAAGTAAGTTTCATTTGTGTTGATTCTATTAGAGCCCCAATGGTTTCCGTGCATTATGTATTACCTAAATTACAGGCATAAATAAAATGACGTGTATGTAAATACGTCACTGTTTCTTCAGAATTCAATTTAAGAAATATTGCATGCGCTATGGGATTTTACATTTGTGACAAAATAAAACTAAATAGATTAATAAATCAACGTCAATATTTATTTATGTATGTTTAAAATCAGTTCAAAAGGTAGGTAGGTAATTTCTATTCTACCAGGTACTTATTGAAATATTTAAAACAGCTAACACCTTAATACAACGAAATTCTTAGTCATTAAAATCACAATGTGTAGGACGTATTGGCACTAAAATCACAGCTTAATTGCTTATCTACTTTTATCTTATAATCTACTATTAACGAATAATATGAAATTATAATAATAAAGGAGTAAAATATATTAAAAAATACTATCGTAAAAGGTGGAGTAATACCGAGGAATAATGTTTTTCTGTAAGAGCTCTTTTAAATCATTTTTCTTTTTGACAGGAATATCTCTTCTTGAATTATATACCGGCGCACATTGGTTCAAGGGCGGATAAAAGTCCTTTGTTTCAACTTTGTTTAAAATTTCTACAATTTGGTACACACATACTAGAATGTTAGTAGAAACAAGTCTTAAAATTAATACGGCTAAATACTTATACATTATTTAATTATATGATGCTAAAGTAGAGTGATTGAGAATTTACAAATTTCGTGCAAAAAATATTGTTATTTCAAGTATGAATAGAACCTGAATACTATAATTATTAACTTTTATTTTTGGTTTAGTTATAAGTTTATTGTGAGTATTAATAAAATATGTAAACATAATATGATATAATGAATAATTACTTGCTATTACATTTTTAGTGAAGAAGGTCATTTGGAACCTTTTGTTTTCAATCATGAGATCATAAACTAATCTCCGTTATCGACCGTTGCGTAATAATATACTTCCTGAAATTAATTAGACCCTATAGATTAAGAATACATTCGTTTTGGCTGCGATAACCTGCGATTTTGGAAATACCAGGTCCTTAATCAAATCAATCATGTCGCGTAAGTATAAACAGCATTGAACGGTAGTTTAAACTTCACTTACAATTATGGATATGGATATTCAATTATTTTCTCTTACAATAACAGTGTTATTATAGTGATGGATAGCTTTACTATTGTCTATGCCGATTTAGTGGAAATCATAATATCAAATAATCGTGACATTCATAAATGCCTCGAAAATTTAAAACTTATGTATCCGCAGCTTACAGAAAGTGTTTGGAAGCAAGTTTATGAAAAGTTGAGTCGTAATTTTTTACCCGTATTTACGAAAAAGTGGCAAACTGCAGCGAGAAATAAAAGTGCATTTATGGCAAAAAATGAACAGTGGCTGAAAAATATTTTTACTGTTGAGACATCTTCGGTGCAGGCTGATATGATGAATTGTCACAGACAAACAGACAAAAAAAAAAGTTAATTACATTTTTGGGTTCGACATAGACATAACAATAACCCCTGCTATTTTTTTTATTTTTATTAGAGATTTACAGACAGCACTTTTCTACAATTTTATTATATGTATAGAGCATGGCAAAGAAATAATAAGTGTTGCTGCCTTACTTATTGGAATGTTATCTGAGGAAGCTCAAGAAGCGCGAAATAAAGATTACCGCAATTATAGGTTA